TCTGGCTATATGGCCACCAGCACTGCGGACTGGGTGGAGGTTGCTGTGTGTCTGGGTTTGAGTTACATGAGACTTTGTAGCTCAGAGTGCAGTATGAAGTGTTTCCCCAGCCTTCGCTTTTTCCAGAGATCCCTCCTCCAGCCCTGGGACCGACGTCTGCGCAGTTACTCGCCGTATTGGTTTTTGGCTGCCAGTGCCAGATCTCCGGGAGCGTGCCGGGATTGGGGATCGGCTCATCATCCTTGCTTTAGAATCCAGCAATAAAAACCTTAGGCAGATTTAAGTTGTTTAATGTGTGCGGATCGTTATTGATGATGAATTCGCTTTAGCTTATGCCTTTATCCGGGGTGACTTATGGCGCTGAGGCGTACCACTGTAATTGTGGGATAACAGCAAGACTGGAAATCCGGCGAGGAAGCGGGGATTTCCGCTTTAAAATATCGATGCTATAAAACAGAAGGACTTGCTGTATCTGGGGGAAGCCATTTATAACATAGAAGGACCCCCCTCCCCATATAAACCCATAGTTCATTGTCCTGGCATTTAAGTGAGACCTGACATGAATGCCATTTCTGTAGTGTTTTTCTAAATCGTCATCCATCATCAGCTTTTTGTATTTGTAATCTTCCACTTTGTCATCTTTTATTAAAAAAAAAAAAAAAAACACAGCAGGACTCCCCAACCCCCCCCCAACCCCTGCCCCTTATGAGCTTTTAGATCTCAACGTTGTAGTTGTAGAGAGGAGAAAAAAGTTCTGAATGTCAAGCGATGGTGGTGTGGCGGTGATGGTGCCCGGTTGCTGGGAGGGGGGGCCTTCCTGCCTGCACTAACCACCTCCCCCCCCCCCCCCCATCCAGAGAGTGTGTGTCAGTCTCGCTGACTGCGAGTGTGAGAGCGTGACTTAAGCCACAGAAGCGCGTCTCGAAAAATTAAGGTCCGGTTTGAATGTTCTTCAACTCTGTCGATGATGTATGAAGGAGACCTTTGGGGTGGGGGGGAGGGGGGGGTTGGTCCTTCCTGTCTTCTGCCTGCGTTTTCAAGCACTCTCTTAAATCCCACTCTAACTTTCTGAGCTGTCCTATTACAGACTGTAAAGCTTGACTAAATTTTCAATTTGATATGCAGGGTAATTTAAGCCTAGTATAAGCTAATATTATATATATATATATATATATATATATTTTTTTTTTATGCAGAAGTGGTCAGAGCTGGCTTGTTGATGGCTTATATCTGGAAGTCTGTGTTGGCCTCTATGGACTGGGTGGGGTTTGAAGGTTTTTAGCGGAATGGGCAGCGCCGAGAGGTGAATTTGCAGAGATGGTCTGTGGTATAAAGCCTGGAAGGCTCGAGCGAGCGTGTTGAGTCGGTCAGCTGAGAGACAGTCACGCTCTAGGTTCATCTTTTCGCTGCCTGAGAGCACGGCATGGTGGGAAATGAGGATCTCTGCTTACACCGCGATGGGGAGTCGATGTGACTGCCTGTCTGAAAGTGACTGGGCTGTGGGGGAAGAAGGAAGAGATTTGATCGCTGTATCGTTGTGGTGTGTTTATATTAGTAATAGCGCTTAAAAATATAGTGGTGAGTGTGTAGTGTGTCTGTGTCTCTATATGTGTATATGTTTATATGCAGACTTTTCGACAGGGATAATGTATATGCATTCAGTATGCATGTTTGTTGTCAGCATGACTGTGTGCTGTGTCCTGTCCCCCAACCCTACCTCCCCAGCTCTTGTTGCCTTGGGGCGGGGGGCTTGTTCCTGCTGGTAAGCTGGACCCGTGCATATAGTTGTAGTTGCAGTGACCCTTTGACGTCCGATTAGCTTTTTTTGTTTTTATTAGGAAACTCAATTCTTTGTGTGTGCATGTGCACACATTTTTTGCATCATTACCAGATTTCGTCGCAATGCGATAAAACCCTGTAAACTTTTTACCTTGTGGGGATGGGCACATTTTTTCTGTCCCTTCAAGGGAAAACTCAGTTTTGTAAATATCTGTGACTGCAACCAAAAAACAAAAAAAAAGTCTCATATTTTGTTTGGTTACTTATGGGTTACGGTCATGGCTGGGTAGGGGTTAAGGTCGTCATGTTGTTATTAGGGTTTTACCCATAGAGATGAATGGAGAGTCCCCACAAAGACATAGATATCTAATCTGTGTGTGTGTGTGCGTGCATTTCCTCCTCGCTTTCGCTGAATTGCGTTTGTTTTCCTGCCCTGTTCTTTCTGCATTTTTATCCTCTTCCCTTTAACATCATTATTATTATTATTTCCTTTTTCTGTGCCCCGAACTGCTAGAAGCCTCTGAGCGTGCAGATTTCAGCTGGATTCCAGTAGGTGCCTTGATTGCTTTCCTGTGGCCGTTTGCGCCGCTTGGCACAGCGTCCCGGGAAGCGTCTCTGAAAGCTGTAGCGCGGAGCGCGGCCAGTACGAGCCTCCTCTCGCGCTCCACAGCCTGTTCTCTAGGTGAGGTTAGAAGATAAAACACACACACACACACACACACACACACACGTACGTGCTACCATGGGCGGGCACTTGAATTTTGGCGTTTGAACCTGGTGGTTGTGAGTTCACTGGCTTTGCTGGTGTGTTTCAGTTTGTCTGTTTTGTGGATTTAAGCTGGGCAAATGTGTGTTTTTGACAATGTGTCGCTTGTTTGTTATTTATTGGTCAAACCGTTTCTTTTTGTGGCATGTTTTTTATTTTTTTTTTGGTGTTATTTTTGTCAGCTTGCCTTCTGCCCATTTCCCAAGCTAACTGGTTTAGACTTCCACTTTGCTGGGGGGGGGGGGGTGCAGTTGATTTGCTTTTCTACAGAAGAGGAATGTCAGGAAACGGGAAAAGAAAAAAACCAAACGCACGCGAGATGTTTCCAGTGTGTCAATAAATCCCGTCGTCTTCTACATATCTAATGGTCCCAGAAACCACATTAAATCAAACGGTCCTATTTTATTTCCTTAAATGGCAACCGGGGAAAATGTATTTCAGAAATAGCAAGGTCTATTGTAATGAAATAAGAGGGGGATAAAAAAAATCCAGTCGTTTTAAAAATGTATACTGCTTCCAGCGTAATAGTGTAAGTAATTTGTTAAGTGCTTATAACTCCCATGCTAAAGTTTCCAAGATTTTGCCTGAAGCAAGCACTTAATTAGCATATTAATTTTTCAGAATAGCTTTGAGGAGTGCTTCTCAATATTTCTTTTTTTTTTTTTGCGTTGCCCCTTAATATGAAAATATTTTTACATTTCGCAGGCTGTTTATCAGCGTAGAGGTTCATTTGAATGCAGTGCGAGTTAGTGTGGGGGTCGGGGGGGGGGGCATCTCAGGGGTCCTGTAATAGGCCTTAAGCTGCTTCTATCAATCTTCATAACCCTGCGATAATCTATCGCCTGCGACTCGGGGTTTAAAGCGCACCTGATCATTAAGGGAGAGGAGCGGCGCCTGAACCGCCCCGTTCCAGGCGTTTGCCCATAACTGCGTATCCATCGCAAACCCTGGAGCCAGTGGTGGGAAGGACGGGCGGTGCACTCGAGGGCGCCGTGGAGAGACTGCGAAGGACGGGAGGTGCACTAGAGGGCGCCGTGGAGAGACTGCGTGCTGGATGCGGAAGCTACTTGGAGACGCTGTTTTGCCTGACTGGGTCTGCAGGCTGTTGGAAGAGGCCAGTGGAAATCAATGCAGGAGCCGGATTCGAACCCGTGACCCTGGAGGTGCTTGGCCATCAGTGCATTCCTCTCCTTCACCACAACCCCGCCCCAGCATGAACTTGATAATTTTCACCTCCAGTGCACCAGATTCAGCCAATTAGGGGCTTGAGGATGAGCTGATTAGATTAGATTAATCAGATTGACTGGTGCTGCATGGCGTTGGGGGGGTGGGGTCGCTCAGGGTTTGAGGTTGGAGGGCATGCCGCTTTGAGCCCCCTCTGGGACGGAGCTGGGATCCCTCCATCATCTCGGCAGTTTTGTGTTCCTTGTCATGCTTTTCGGGGTGAGCTTGGCAAGATCCCTGTCGTCCCTGACATCCCTGTCCCCTGACATCCCTGTCCCCTGGCGTCCCTGGCCTCCCTGGCGTCCCTGTCCCCTGGCCTCCCTGGCGTCCCTGTCTCCTGGTGTCCCTGTCCCCTGGCCTCCCTGGCGTCCCTGTCCCCTGGCCTCCCTGGCGTCCCTGTCCCCTGGCGTCCCTGTCCCCTGGCCTCCCTGGCGTCCCTGTCCCCTGGCCTCCCTGGCGTCCCTGTCCCCTGGCCTCCCTGGCCTCCCTGGCGTCCCTGTCCCCTGGCGCCTGTCGCTGTACGGTCAGCCCTTCATTATCAGGCGCACCGCTGCCGCCGTGTCTTTCGCACAAACCGCCCGTCCTTCTGGTAACCAGCCTGGTTTGTGTTTGTGGTGAACAGAGTAGGGCCTTGAAGGTAAGCGGCTGTTCAGGATCGCAGCGTGGGATCAGAGCCCTGGCCCAGGGGGGGCCGTGTCCCTCACCGTGCTGCGTTATGGCGGTAATGAGGCCTCTCCGTTTGGTGCTGGCATGGTCTGACCCTGGGGTGACCTTGGTCTGACCCTCACGATCGATTGACTCGCCGAGGTGCGCCGGGGCTGCAGTTAGGAGGAAGTTGGGAGCTGAAATGGGACGTGATCTAATTTGGAGACACATGGGGTGGCGGGGGATGCGGGGGGGGGGGGTTGCTTTGGCTGGGACCGATTGGTGTAGTCCAACTCAATGGCCTGTGTCATGCTGTGGCACCTGCCAAATAAGGAGGGGGGTGACTCGGGCCAGCGAAGGGAGGTGCATTAGGACCTTGAAGGGGCTGCTGCGGTCTGTCGGGGGTGTCAGTCCAGCCGCCTGCGGAAGGAGCCGCTCTGGTGACGGAGAGTGGCTTCCAGGTTTCAGGGGGGGCCTTAATCAAATGACAGCTGTGCCTTGCTGCCCCCCTCCGACTTATTTTATGTGTTAATGTTACCTGGATTTGTGATTTTGTGGGTGAGGCGGGGCCTGACCCTGGGAGGATATGGTCGCCGTGGCCGCGCCTCGTACGCCAGTGCGTGTCCATGCCATCCCCTGCCAAGTCGGTGCGGCTAATGGCCGGCCCTCTGCCCGCGCGGCTAACGGCCGGCCCTCTGCCCGCGCGGCTAACGGCCGGCCCTCTGCCCGCGCGGCTAACGGCCGGCCCCGACCCTCTGCCTGCACCCACGCGCCCTCACGGGCCACCTGGGGCGGCATTAAAACCCCCCACATCAGTATTACCTTTCAGCGCTGGGGCCAGTCTACCTGTGTGAGCCTGGAGCCTCAGCTGGTATCTATCTGTGTAGCTCCGGATTCAGTGCCAGGGTTCAGACAAAAGATTCCCCCCCCCCCCCCCCCCCCCCCCCCCATCCCAGAATGCA